GATGCAATGTGTATTTATTACATTGTTCTCTCGTGTAATTTTACTGTCTACCAAGCTTATGTAACAGCATTCCTTCAGAACTTAAAACGGCTAAAGTATAGGGCTGACATAGCTTGCTTTCATCTACAGTACTAAAACGTCACAATAGGTGTGAAGCTGACAGGTTAATAGTCTCCTGTTCCAACTGGCGGTATTTACCAGGCCGAAGGTGAGATAATTGTATTGGCGATACACGTATCTGTTTACCATACAACTAAACATTCGGGAACGGGCTCCATACGTTCACTTTAAACCTAGAAGGATCGCTTGGAGCTGACAATACATCTGTAATTAAAGATAATGTGAAGATAAAGTCTTGGTATTATTTTCTGTCAATCAATGGTCATTTACACAGAACTTTTGATTATAACGATATTTTGAAACCTACACATTGAAGATCCTTAAGGCGAGGAAAGCAGTCTACCATATCTCGGTAAGGAACCACTTTGAAACCTTTGTGTTCAAATCGGCTAGATGCCCGAAACGCCTACGCCTACAGCAAACTGACAAAGTCGCCAGACCATCATCAAGACGCGTTAGCAAAAATGTGACTAGAATTTCATTATAAAAGAATATGATACATGCATATATATATATATATATATATATACTGTCTAGTGATGCTCACTGTAATCAGTTTCAACGAAGAACATTCGGTCCATTTAGCAATTTTACAAATTGTAGCTGATAGTCTTCGCGGAACTCTATGACACGTTGTCACTGATGACAACGAAAGAATAAGAAAAAATCCTACACAGATTTTTTTTTCATACAAAACATTCGGTACAGGGAATGGCGGATGACCACACACCGACATAGTGCCAGACAACGTACCGAGCATGTTACGATCGCGAGGAGGACATGTTGATGTCTTTCGTCGCCGTTGTCTAGTCGTTCATCACGCTGAATGGCTCTCTTGGGGAAATGGACTGTTATAACGGCGCATTAGCTCGTGTAATCTCACACCTGTTCGTCGGGACGCTTACTGGCACTCGGTACTTTCTTAGAACAACTCTTCATCCACAATTATCGACAAACTCGATTTCTAATAGAACATGCTTTGAAGAAATTAGACTAAAACATGTTAGGAGGTAAATCAGCATCACCCTACCGCGTAGCCGGCGGGGTTAAATGTATGACGGAGCCTCTTGACGCTCCGTAAATCAGGCGACTTGTGACCGTGGGCCTTTTAGTGTCGTTCTGTAACGGGAAGGTGGCTAAATGTTACGTCGCAACTTCGCTGAAATAGTGTATTAAAAAGGACTCTGACACGTCCAAAAGCCCAGTTTTGGAGATTCTGACTCCCCAGGGATTCTACCGTGGAATGTTTTATGCCGACAGAAGTGTTTGTTTCACTAAAGCCTTGCGTGACGTACGGGCATTACGGGAACTAAGAGAAGCGGTGGGCGAGTAGTTGTAGACAGCGCCGCTAGGGATCAGGTTATAGATGGATCCTTCTGTCAACGCGTCGTGCCCCTCCTCCGTGTTTACACGTCGTAAAGTCATATTGTCGTCACGGAAACAAAAATAACTAATATTGTCTAAATTGAACGTACCAATTCATTAACCTGCAACTAAGGCATGTCGCACAAGCGCCTGTGTGGAGGGATTATGTTTCAAGAGTTCCCTAGGACTATGACAACTCCGTACATTGTATAATCACCTACGATAGAATAAACTAATTGAAATGACCCGCTATAGTATATGTGTGATCCATAATGATACAGAACGAGTAAGTTGTCGGAAGAACAGAATGAAGTATACCATCCGTAAACCTCGTTGAGATCTTGCTTTGAATCGGGATGAGGGGTCTTTAAACTCAAGCATATTTGTGACGAGGTATTTAACAAAGCATTGCTGTATCGGTTTTGTCGGTTTTTCTGGGGCGGTGTAGAGCTACGTAAGGAAGTATATGTATCTATCTAAATGTCCCATAATTCACTGGCGCTGTTACACAAGGAAGTATCTACCAGAAAACTATATCTCTTAACTTTATGGGGGACGTTAGAGATTGGCAAAGCAAGCTCCAGCGCAGAGAAGAATTACTTGGGTTTGACATATCGCCCTGAGGTCGCTGGTCTGTATCAAGCGAACCCACTTTACGAGGGGAAATTGTACAATACAAGATTAGGACAATAACGGTGCCACATCCGCCTGGTTTACGATCTACACTCGAGGTATTGCAGTATATGGATCGACGGATATCATCGAATAAATAGCAGTTTCTCGAGATAAATATCTAAATGTACCGACACGTGGTCGTGAGGAATACTGATGTGTATGTTTTATTTAGAAATCGAATCGATTTTCCTGTGTTTTATTTGGAGAGTTGTGCTATTTTCAGGAATCCATAAAGCATGTTCCGATTATTAATAAACTGGGTTTGTTTGATTCGTTATACTTTGATGGTAGTTCTAGGCACAAGACGTACCATGTGAATGCAGATAAACATTGTGGGAAATGTAACAAGCTGGATCGGGGTTCGAATCCAGGACTCCTGAATGAATGATAACGCGTGTGTTCTTTTCCTAGCAACTATCTAGCTGAGTACGATTTACTTAAAGTGTTCAACATAACTTTGATATTTTGCTGAAGTGTCATAAATGCTACGAACTGAAACATTGGAGATGATAGTACACATACACATATCGTATGTATATTTCCACTTAAAATCCTGGCATGTTACCTGTCAGTGAGGATGATAAACATTTACATACATCCCTTACCCTACTGAGATCATTTCACGTGCCATTCCACCGTTGTGCGTAAATTAAAAAAAACGCAAACTTTATAATAACTTGCACAAAAAATAGAATAGCAGTTGCTAGAAAGTGCATCATACGGAAACCTACACACAAAAGATAAAAAACAGAGTTATCTTTGTTATTTTTAGTAAGCACCAGTATTTAAATGAACTTTGATATATGAATGGAACTGTACTGCATTCCACCAAAAATGCAAATTAAAACATCAAATTTAATTCTTTAAGGCGTTATTTAATATACATAACTACAATGTACACGTAGTTTAGATTGCTGGAATCCTTGGATATTTCTTGTACATACACAAACCATTACCTATATTTATTACTTATTGGCTAATGTCTAGACCTAGAGCTGATTTGAAAAGAAATTAGTTTGGTGTTTTCTGTCCCGTTTATAGCCAGGTCGATATTTAATCGAGCGGGTTATAGCCATTCACTAAGAGCAAACGCGTGCCTGTAAAAGAGTGAGAAAAGGGGATTTTACGACTGGCTGACAGTCCTGCCCGGCAGGTGGCGCTTGTACCAAATGGGGCTCATTCTCTACTTTCTCATTATACGAGTCCAACAAAATCAATTGGCTGAGGATAAATTCTTTATTTTATTACTTTTCAAACATTTTCGAAGTCTGATCTAGACATTTCTCCCTTTTTACTTAGCCCTGCTTTTAGTTGTTATTGCCTTGAAAATGTTTATTGACATTGATCGTGGAATGACTTTAACAATCACAGCTCTTGGGCGAGTCATGGCGACGCTCTGTTTGGTCCTAGACCATATAAATACATCTATTGTTGATTGCTGTTTTTGTTTGTTTGTTGTAATTTACGAATCTTGATTTAAATGTTGTTTACTCTTCATTGGCCTTCCTAATCTGACGTATTGACTTTGTATCAGATATGGTTATATCATTACTAGAGGCAAGTCGATAATCTCAGAAAATGGCATACACCTACACGAGTCTGCGAGGAGAGATGAAAGTGTCTGTCAAGCTCACCGCCAGGTCGAGCCATATATTGTCTGTCATCTTCTGGAAATGACATCGCCTTCTTGAAATATTTGAAAATTTTCTAATCTACTTATCACAAGCTGTTTTACACACATGCCTGTCTGTGTCTTTGCCTTCTTTCGTCCGTACTTAAAAAACACTTCTAGCGATGCCGTTTCATTCGTTGCTTCGCTTCTCTTCAATTGAAGCAATTTATACTTGTAGATATGAAGATTCCCAACGGGGACACGAGGATGGCTGGTATATCGAACATTAATATATTGCTGTTATAATTGGTCTGTGCATAGTAACGGCCCGCAAGAGCAAAAACATTGCTAGCTGTTCCTGCTGTAAAGACCGCACCGGATATGACGTTGACTTATCTGTACGAAAACTCTACATATTATAGAACTGTTGAGTCAATTAAACAATTACTCATTTATATATCGTTGGTAAACATATACGTGTTATACTTTGATTTAAGCATACGTTATTGCACATAAGTAGCAATAGGATTGGACAAAGATTTACAACTTACATAAAGCCCTTTCCAAACATGTTAATACACACACATTATATTTACAAGGTGGCAGTAGGATATAATAACAATGAAACAATTGTAAACAAGTTGAGAGAGGGAATGGGTTGTATAACACATACTTTGTATGTTGAGTATGTATGCAGATCATGCATCTGCTCCGTCTTTATGTAAGCGAAACAGGTGATCCACTATCCACATGCCTAAACTCTCAACTTGTCAATGTTCATCACTTCTAGTGTTACACTTATGTTTGTTGGGTCAAAACCGTATAATCAAACGCTTTTTCCCTTGACTTTCATTGTCTTGCGAGACTCTTCATTTACTAAAGTTGATATATAGTATCAAAAGCGTTTTCTAAATATTAGTCAATTTAATTAAATAGACATTCACTTTTTTTATATAGCCGCATTTCTCCTATCTTTATATGACATTGCCCACAACGGGCGTTTTTGAAAAATAGTTACGGAACGTCTATGAAAAAATCGATTGGAAATTATACTGGAAACAAAATCTGTTTCACAAGAACAACCGTTAGCACTTGTCATCATTTTATTAGTCCGTTTAACGTAGACAAAAACTGCACGTCCAGAATCATTTGAAAGTTTGAATGAATAATGAAAAATGAAGTGTTTATGTGAAGCATCATACTGACCACATTTTCTCCTTTCTTGTAGTGACGTCACAAGTTGGCGGGACGACGTGTCCACAGTATGTAAAAACCGCTGCCTCAAACTGCTTTAGTGATTATCGAACTCAGCTTCATAGCCTACAGGAGAGTGACCATGCCCTATTCTCCGGGGTTAACGTTGAGCTACTTCGCTCATTCTGCACGTAAGTAGTAAATTCTAATGTTTAGTCTCGCTTTCAAAATTAAATCGGTTCATTTATGTTATTTCTGTCGATCTGCGAGAAAGCGATATCTACGAAACACTGGTGTGTTCAGACAACACACTGGGTCATGTAAGAGTTTGATTCGAAGCCAGAGTTGCTTGTTTAAGTGAATGTCAATCGTTATGAGAGTGGTCTTGTATGTAAATGTTGTGGTAACCGAAGTCGACTTCGTTTGAGCTTTAAACTCGTGTCTTTTTTGACGCTATGTCGGAAACTAATTGGCAGGTATGAAAAAACTATAATTATATGATGTTATCGTTTGATCGTCTGTATTTCTGTACACATGTATTCCTGTATTAAGGTATATACTTCATTCACCTTCAAAATTTGTTATTTCTACTCCGTTAAAATATCACTTACATATTTTCATTGTAGAATCTTATATTTCTCAACGAGAATATATATGTTGATTTCAATCTAAGACGCATGTTTTCACATAATTCAAAAGAAAATTAAAAGTAATTAAATTAAGATTGGTCAGGATCAATAAAAAAAAGTAAACTTCACTTCAATTTTATAGGCTATTTTGCCCGAACAGAGTTGTCGTTCCTAATGAGTACCGCAATGCACTATGGGAGAAATTGATACTTGGAAGGCAAATATTGTGATCTGACTGGTCAAAGGTTATTGCAAATATCAAAACTTCAATGTAAATCGTATATTTCACTTCGAAAATACAGTATAGAGACAATTCAACAAAACGTGATTTAGAATCTTTTCAAATTGCCGATATCTTATCTGATTTACTTTCTATAACCAAAGAAAATATTATTCAAACATTCCGTTATAATATGCATCGCATGTGGTCTAATATATCAAATTGGACAGTGTGGCAACATATGCCTTGCCTCCAAATTCTGAAATGCTATAATGTCATAATTTCCTGTTAATTTAAGAAGAATTAAGAAATTAATGTGTGAACGGAGATAACTTTCATTTGCATTGATAATACTATAAAACAGTACATTACGTCATGGAGTGCACACTGGAGATTAATGGGAAAACGTCTTACAGTGAATTCGATTGAAACTAGATCCCTGGTGCTTTTATGTAGACATACCACGTAGGAAATTACACGAATACTCCATCATGAATACTGAATTCCTGTTTAAAATGATATTTCCCGTTTTAATGAATAGAAGGCTGATGCGCTACCTTATATCATAATTTGTATCTGAGAACACCTGCACGCTTGGTGGTTCAGGCGCTGTACGCTCCACTGAGGGTACAGTTATTTTGTCTTCCTATCTGATCATCAGCAACATCTTTCACCTTTTACCAATAACTTACGAGTTGTGTTTAACAACGTCATTTAAATTTGTGAGATTAGCACCTGGAGCGTCACTTCTGGCGCGTCCCTCCCCACCAGCACTTAATTCCAAGCGGTAGTAAGAATTAGTGAGAGTTTTGTCAACAGATGGCGCGGCGTCATATCCGGAACACTATGTCATATCTTAATTTTCTTAGGTATATTTAATTTATGAATCAGCTGTACGGCTGTGTAACACGACGTGTCCTACTTGCCACACTGGTGACCCCACGTCACCTCTGTCACAGCTAACTACCTACCAATCTAGTTAATGAATGGCCCAGGGGAGAGGTTGTCATCACAGTAGTCAGTGCCCGGATGTTACAGACACTGTAGACAGCTTACAAAAATAGGGGTCATACCAAACGGACTTTTCAAAGTTACAGTGTTAAGTGTACGTGGTTTAGTTTCGCCATAGACCTGTTAAGGTACCATCCCGCTGCTACGACCATATCCCACTACATGTATACGTTTCTACTTCCAGTGAATACAATGTCAACGATATTTTCGAACTGACAAAATCATCTTACTCCAAATTGGTGAAAATATGGCAGAAGGGATAAGAACCGAGGCCTTTAAAATCCTTTTTGGCGACATCCGCCTTTTAAGTGCCGGCCAGATGAATGATTTATAAAAAAAAAAAAAAAACCCGCGTCGCTCACTAAGGGGTACTAAACATGAAGAACTTCATTTAGCACAAGGAAATCAAATGTTTGCGAATCGTTATGGCGACGGTAAAAATGTCCACATGTAATGTTCTGTAATTTGTATCCCTAGAGGAATCACTGGTGTTATTTGTCGGCAGTCGAAATATATCGCAATAATTGTGATTCAGATGCGACATTTTTATACGGAACGTGTGCAAGCTCGATCTCTGTAGCAAGAATGGAATAAATTTAAAGTACTAAACTTATCGTAAAAATTTGTGGTTAGAAGTCCATGTAGGCAATATTGTAGGAAAATAACAATACAACATTACAGGTACGTAGAGGTTTTGTAAAAATGTGATACTAATTACACGAATGTGGTATTTTTGCGCGACGAGAGTAAGTGTAGAGAGTCAACACTTTCCAGGAAGTTAGGATTGAAGAAAGATCTTAAATGTGTTTTATTGGTGAGGATTTGTCTTTGATCGGCTTGGAATTTACAAAAAACTTTTTTGTTTTGTTTTGCTGGAATATTAACAATCATTCATCATTCAAATCAACACTGCCGACTTGCAAAGTGTATTGAAGTATTATGATGGGATATGTTGCTACCTTTTTAATCCTTTTAGTAGAATATCTAAAAATGCGCACTTCCTCACCATCCAGGTCTGATAGTATTCTGGAATCCTCCCATTCGTTCGTGACGTCATAGAAACACTGTGTAACACAAACGTTGATTTGTGTTATCTTTTATATAAAAGTGTTGGTGTATCATCAAACGTTATCGTCATAACGCCCATTACACCATCAAACATACACTACATCTGCATGCCATACTAACAATAATGAAACGCTCCGCTATAACTGATCAAAAACGCAGTCAAAAGTTAATCTTATAGAACATTCGCCCTTTGGAAAAAGTACGTCTTTCATACAGTGGTCTAACAGGCATTGATAAAGCTTTGAGAGAATAACAATGGTGTATTTCAGCTTTCAACTCCAAAGCGTTTGCGGCGAACATTACGAGTATGTAAGGAGGGTTTACTGGACGCCCCATCATCAGTGTAGGATCATTAGCCCAGTACTAGTAATTATCGCGCGAGATTTTTCGTTCGCCATGTTTTGGTCTTACACCATGTAGTTTTAACGTTAGAGAAAGCAGGAATATGAAGAATACACTAGAGATTGCGTGAGATGTAAATGTTCTCTGAGAAGGTGCTGGCTAATTAATCGGTTTCAACCCCATCTATGTCATAACGATGAGTATTTAAGTACAACAGCGTGTCTCTGCGTTGTCTGTCCGTTCGTCCGCATCGTTACGCTGAACCCACGCGACTTGTTAGTGATAGCTCAATTCATCATGACTGACCTTGTGTGTCTGTCAAACAGGTATTATCGACTCATTCAGTACGGTACCGAGAGCTCAAATTTTACATTTTTATCGTGTTCATATTTCATGGAAATAATTCTACTTTGTTCTAGCATATTACAATGAACTGATGTCTGTATTGTATATTGGCATGTCATGCCAGAGTTGCATAGAGCCTCGTTTTGAGAGTGTTATCATGACGTCCATTTCCGGTCATTCATTCGGACTTTTTGTCTATGTTCATTTTTTACACATTTTATCAACAGAATATTGCCGATAAAACTCTCTTTTAAAGTACATTGTATAATTAAACGAAATTCAAAAGCGAATATTCAATATAATTTGTTTTATCGTGTGATCTGTCACATGCTGTGAAGCGAAACGAGAATGACAGATCGAGTAAACTGTTTCCATTATCATCTTTGTTAGAATTTAAGAGAAGAAATTGCTGCATGAATTTAATAACTGTTAAAGTGCACATAAACTCGTGTCACGTGTATTTCGTAGTCGTGAACATGTTTTTCATGAGGTGATATCACGTTGCTACAAGGTGTGTGATTAATCAGATTGTAAAAGAGCGTTTATGAAATATACATTGTAATCGCTTACGGTAAAATATGTCCACTCTTGTCTTTCGAAATGCGTCATGACTGTTGTTGTCAATCCATCGACGATATAACGACAAATTTGATTGGTTAATAACCATACATTACCGGCCACTTGCAGTAATGAACTATTCATTGGATGTTGGAACGCCGTTCAAAAAATCATTCCGAAATGCGAAACTTAAACAAGAGAGGCGTGCTGAAATAATCAAAGACTTGTTTACTTTTGTCAAATTGGGGTACACGCGTGCAGCTGAATATTTAGTAACCTACTTCCACATACGCACACTCGGAACTGGAGAGTAGAACTCCTGCACGACTGTTATTGTAACGCGACGGCGTGTCATGGAATGACTTTACTTGAATCTCTTGAAGCTATGATTTATAAAGGTATCTGAGACATTGTTATCAAACATTGTTATCAATATCATATAGCAAGTAGATCACATTTTCGTCACATCAATCAATATATGCAATGCATCATCGACGCTGTAAAGAAAATACAATATGTGTAGTCGAGTTACCATGAATCGTCCTAAGTGATCGCACGGGAAGTATCACTTAACGCAGACCATATATTATGTTTGTTGTAAAAGTCAGTTGTTGTTGACGATTAAAAACTTATTTACATGTTATTTACGCTTGCTGTCCGCGAGAACCACCCTAAATTGGTAACATTATGTTTACAGAACTTACAACGAAGCTCTTAGGTGTGTACAGCAATTGTTTGACAACTGCCCACCGGAAGCGGATGCACAAATCACGGAGTCGCTTAAAAACCAGGATGCTTATGGTGCCCACGAAGAACTGACACAGCTTTGTCGCGACGATATGATATACGAAGGTAATATTTTCTAGACGTTCAACGCAATACAAATATGCTCTAAAAGTAGATATGTAAACTAGCTTACTTGTTTATTTGTTTATGTGACTTTGCATATTACTTTCAAACTGTCCAGTTTTAGAATCACGTGACCAACTACATGTTCATAATTCCATACATGCAACAAATATATGCAGTTTTCTATTATAAGTTTAGTTGATTTTTAAGATTATCTGCTTAAATACACTATTGAAAGAGACTCAGTTCCATTTTTTAAGTCTCGCGTTCGATTATTATCACACTGTACTTATTACCTTCATGTCTACAGCATAGGTACAGGTAATTAACTTGTATCGTTAGGATCAGGAAATTAACTTGTATCGTTAGGTTAAGGATACTTATTAATTAACATTTATCTAGTCGTTGTGAGGGAAGATTTGAACGGAACATTACTTCAATGATAGTAAAACTGTAGAAACCAAGCAATGTGCATTTAGAAATTCGCAAAATAAGCGATCTTCCTTGGCCTCTATACTGCATCTCTCTAGACTTCCTTGTAAACCTACCAGAAAGTAAACTCTCGCGAGATTGGCGGAAACGTAGGTTTACATTGACAAGTATTAGGAAAATTTCGTATGGTAGTGGCCTTGATATGCTGGAAAGTTGTTTAGAAAATGAGAGGATATACTTAGTTTACAACATTTAATTGCTTTGACATGTATGTAAGTCTTATCTGTCCATCGATCAAGGATAAATTTCGCCTGAATGCCGGCCGATACACGGGTCGCTAAAATCCTGTGTTTATATGTATCGGAAGGAGCACTGATTATCGACCGCTACCAAGATAAAAACAAAATCACGGAATTATAGTCAAAACTCGTTAGGCTTGTGAATATTTTACATGTGATTGTCCAAATGGTGACTTTGATTGCGTGTATGATTTTGGAACATGAATTAAAGACACAAAAAAAAAAAAACACACACACACACCGGCGACAGTGTTTTATAAAGTCGACGATAAATCACATTTACCGTATTACCGTGCGACAGACGGGGAGAAAGGCATTACTGTGTGTGAAGTGTCGTACGTTTTTGGCGTCCATTAAAATTATCATTTATTACAAAGTGGCATCCAAGTGCACTGCAGTCTTTCAAATATCTGGATGACTAATGGGAGAATTCCCAGCAAGGAGTGAATTCAGGATCTCCTAGGAAGATCATTTTTTTCCATAATGGCGTTTGCTAGTCGTTATTGACTTAAGGTCAGCCTGGCTTAATCTTAAACAGTTCGTTTTGTCGAGGAAGGTGTAAATGACGATGCATGATCAGCTTAAAGTTATCTGTAAGAAAACAGACGCACATATCAGACGAGGCTTGTTTACCTGTAAAATCTGGTTTGGGGTAGAGAGTTTACTCGTTTGAAATCTTGAGTAGTTTGCACGTGTAGGCATCACTTCAACATGACGGAGAACAGGACAGGACCTTCGGGGAAACACTTGAGGTAGCCTCTGCCCGTGTTTAAACACCCAAGTCTCGGGAGAACATATGGTACCTTTGTATACCCCAAACTCGTCTAACACGGAAAACAGGACGGACACAAACGCACATGTTTACTTTCTGTGTTTGTGGATTCTTATTGGCATAAACAGCGTGCGCTTGTCAGATCTAAGACTATACCTGCATTCCGTTCGTGGCGTTTTGACAATTGAGGAACGCAGTAAATGTATTATTGGTAATTTCTGTCTATCTTGGTAGACTGATGTGACTTTGGTCTTCTGGAGTCCTGTACCTTATTCTACACAAGTCAACGTTAGTCCAAACCAACACACGTCATATGTATTGCGCATTACCATAAAAGGTTGCCTAGCAACCATGTAAATATCGCTGATATCATGATTTTCTGTAAAATGATGTACGCTTAGACAACATGTCTTGAATCTGCACTCGTCAATTCGATTCGTTTTCATAAAACAAAGATAGCCAGCGGTGATACCAGAAATCAGCTTGTATTGAAAGGGTCACGGTGTCACAGTTAGATGAAAATAAAATCGGTATTGACAGAATGTAGTGTTTATCTTCCCGTTTTTTTGTCAATTTTCAAGATGGCTTCTGTTTTACTAGACTCTATGTCTGGATCTTGTTTGTTCACGTGAGACGTGACCAACTTTATCAACCACATCAACAACATTTGCTAATTCCATATGTTCCAGATTGAATATGAAACCTCAGAAGTAATACTTGTGAATAAAAACATTTTTTATGATTTTTTATCAGTTGACAAGTGACATGTTTGTTTGTTTCAACAGTTTATGCAAGAAACCAAAATTGTCTACAAGCCGTAGGAGGTAATTCTGAGAGATGTTTTGAAAATATTATGCACACCACTGTTAGATTGATGCAGCGGATAGACTCTCTCCCTCTCCAGGAGTTGTGTGGGTGAGTATTTCCGGGAGTGTACAGTAATACAGAAAAGTGTGAACCTATATAAAACAGGATATATTTTGGTAGTACACAAACGTTAAGTGATGAGGTAATAAAACATAAATTTGTATTGCAGTTATATTACATAGCAATGTACATGTATATTGCACCAAATACAAGCTTGTTACATTTATGTTACAACACATTAAACACGAACGTCACTTTTATAAATGCATTACAAAGATGCTTTATTGAATAATAAAGGAATGAAATATTGTGCATTGTATATCATGGGAATATCATAATAGATATTTAGAGATGTCTGTACAGTTTTTATCAGAGGAATGTCACAGAAAAATAGTTAGAAGTGATACATCATACGGTGATAATTCTAACTCATGGCATACAAATTATATGGCCAAGAAAACATTACGAGGTCACGATAACATAACGAGGTTACGATAACATAACGAGGTCACGATACCATAACGAGGTCATGATAACATTACGAAGCCACGATAACATTACGAGGTCACGTTAAAATTACGAGGTCACGATAACATTACGAGATCAAGATTACATAACGAGGCCACGATACCATAACGAGGTCACGATACCATAACGAGGTCACGATACCATAACGAGGGCATGATAACATTACGAGGTCACGATAACAGTACGAGATCAAGATGACATAACGAGGCCACGATCACATTACGAGGTCACGATAACATAACGAGGTCACGATACTATTACGAGGCCACGAAAACATTACGAGGTCACGATAACATAACGAGGTCACGATAACATTTCGAGGTCTTGAGAACCTTACGAGGTCATGATAACATTACGAAGTCACGATAACATCTCGAGGTCACGATAACATTACGAGATCACGATAACATTACGAGGTCACGATACAATTATGAGGTCACGATAACAGTACGAGATCAAGATGACATAACGAGGTCATGATAACATTACGAAGTCACGATAACATCTCGAGGTCACGATAACATTACGAGGTCACGATAACATTACGAGGTCAAAAGAAATCTACGATGTTATGATTATGTGATGAGGTCACGATAATCTTACGAGGTCACGAAAACAGTACAAGATCACAAGTTGTTTAGGTCACGATAAAATTACCTGAAGGTCACCGTTAGTTTACAAGCTCATGTTCATTTCAAAAATTTAAATCATGGTTCCCCCATTTGGTCGTAAACGCCTTTTTATGACGGCAAAGGTGTTGCTGTTTTTTTTCAAATTTTAATCTCTGAAAGCTGGAATCAGGTGTAGATAGTCGTTGGTTGATATCGTTCACGATTCCAAATATTTGGTTAAATCAAATCTAGTTCAACTAAGTGATGTGTAATTTGTGACAATGAAAATAAACCTCGTTAACGTAATGGATTAGTGTTGTCAAATGATATTTGAATATTTGTTTGATAAATTAGACTTATCATCTTTATTTTGAATGACAATAGAGAAGTGCGCTATTGACTGTCCTTAATACACGAACTTCGTTTGGAGTGGACGCGATATTTGCTAGAGCTCACGACTGGATACGCTGGGTAAACAGACATGTTTGTGAAAACGCTTTCTGTCCACACTACTATTGGTTAACTTCCTTGTCATGCTCAAGTACCATTTCCGGTCACCCAGACGACAGGCTTGTCATGCTGAAATTTCCCTCACGGATGGTTTTCACTCTGCGATTAACATCAAACACGTTAGATTCGCATAAAGTTCATCTTCATTTACATTTGGGCGTTTAGTCAAATTCAAGGATTAAGTATCCATTCCTTAATCCATGTTTAGAAATTCGGAAAAGTTCGGTTGTACTAAACACCGAGGCGGGTGGTACACAAGGGCTAAGGAATGTAAACATTGCTCGGGTACCTCGAGGTCCTGGCCGTTTACCCACATCGCACACCTGGTGAGATGTCACTCCTAATTACAAAACAAGGGAGATAATGGTTTATTAATCTAGTCAGCCCAACAACTAATGCGCTGTCGATAGCGCGCGCTCGGTAACACAAATATGCGGTACTTATCATCAGTGACGGGGTCGCCTTCCTGTCAAACCTACATTTAAAAAGGTCAAAAAGATAATTCGGTGTCATTTATTTATTTATTGTCAGTACGTACTTTTGTTTTCATTAGAATGTGTAAATATTGAATTACGTCATTAGCATTTACAACTGTACGTCATAAGTATGTTATGCGGGACACTTGTTTCAATAAGATATGGATTACATCACTCTGATTTATTTCTTTGAAAGCAAACTTATTTTAAAGTATATTGTTATATTAACATCATCAATCGATTTTAAAGGAAAAAATGGAAATCGATGTATTCTTGAAAATCGTATCTTTTTCTATCGTGGCTTAATTCTTTTAGAACCGTGGATGTGCTGTTTAGATATTCTTGAAAATCGTATCTTTTTCTATCGTGGCTTAATTCTTTTAGAACCGTGGATGTGCTGTTTAGATATTCTTGAAAATTCCAGTTTTTATAAAGAAAAGTGGATGTGTTGTTTAGATATTTGTTTATGTTGTTTCAGGGACATTAAAGAATTGATAAAGTGCATTAAGACAGGTGTCTTGATGAAGTGTTCCACGGAAGCTGCCAAAATTGTGGAGATCCTAGTGAAGCCCATGGTGCGACGATCTACACAGTGTGACTACAGTATACCCTCCACCACGGTACGGTTATATCATTTTATACCCTCCACCACGGTACGGTTATATCATTTTATACCCTCCACCGCGGTACGGTTATATCATTTTATACCCTCCACCACGGTACGGTTACATCATTGTATACCCTCCACCACGGTACGCTTACATCTGTTTATACCCTCCACCACGGTACGGTTATATCATTTTATACCCTCCGTCACGGTACGGTTATATCTGTTTTTTAACTCTCCGCCTTGGAACGAGTATAAATCTAATTAATTTTTCACCACAGTAGAAATTATATCCTTATTCAACCCTCCACCGCGGTACGGTAATGTCCTTATTCAACCCTCCATCACGGTACGGTAATGTCCTTATTCAACCCTCCACCGCGGTACGGTTATACCCTTATTCCACCCTCCACCACGGTACGGTAATGTCCTTATTCAACCCTCCACCACCGTACGGTAATGTCATTATTCATCCCTCCATCACTGTACGATAATGTCATTATTCAACCCTCGACCACGGTACGGTAATGTCCTTATTCAACCCTCCACCGCGGTACGGTTATACCCTTATTCCACCCTCCACCACGTATACCCTTATTCAACCCTCCACCACCGTACGGTAAGGTTCTTATTCAACCCTCGACCACGGTACGGTAATGTCATTATTCAACCCTCGACCACGGTACGGTAATGTCATTATTCAACCCTCATCCACGGTACGGTAATGTCATTATTCCACACGCCACCACGGTAGGTTATACCCTTATTCAACCCTCCACCACGTATACCCATATTCAACCCACCACGGTACAGTAATATCCTTATTCAACCATCGACCACGGCACGGTAATGTCATTATTCAACCCTCGACCACGGTACGGCAATGTCATTATTCAACCCTCCACCACGGTAGGTTATACCCTTATTCCACCCTTCACCACGGTAGGTAATACCCTTATTCAACCCTCCACCATGACACAAGAATGTATTTAATCTATAGACCATCCACCACGGTACTATTTATTACGTAATTTTGACGGACTTACAAACATATAGAAATTCATATAGTGTCGGTCTATTCGCTGCGACGTGCCAATTTAGAGTTTGGCAAGAGCTATAACTGGACCTCGGGTGTCGTCTTCAAACTTATATTTAAAAAAATAGGTCTGTTAGCAAAGACGGTCCATCTCTACCACATCTCTGTATCACACACTCCATCACTTCGCACTATTTCCTCTCAACTCATTTTCCTATATTTTCTCGTCCACTGAAAGGTCGAAAGACCGTAATAGTGGATGTTAAATAAATAGATAGAGATATAGATAAATAAATAGTATCCTTACTATAATAAACAACAGCTTCTGAGGCCCTGTAGTACTTCTTGCCAAAGCATGATCAGCAAGCCTCCTAACACGACATATTTATTGCTTTCTCGATCGCGTTTGATACAGACATATTGCATTTTGTGTGCTTCGTATACATACAGGTACATACCACTGTAAACCCAATAAAAGACGTCCAGTATGGCGCGTGCCTTGACTACATTTCAATACGTTCAGTGTCCGCCATGTAGTTAAGTCGTTATCCTAGTCATTAGTGGTGATGAACACTGAAGGCAGTAAAGAGTTGCTTTCTGTTATTCCTTCCCTGATGAGTGATTGCCGATAGTCGAGTGCTTTACTGGTGATAAATTGTCCGGATAGTTGCAGTGATCCATCGATTATTAGAGAGCGTTTGATCCTGTTTAAAAACGGTCACTTGTGTACATTTAGTATTATGTGTCGTGGAGTGGGGTAATTTGGAACTCGTAAGTTAAAACCCATGTTTGTGTTGAGAGGGAGTGCATGGTGTAGAGCACGCGATTCTGCGCGTGACCAGGCCGTCCAGACCAAGCCTTCACAAAGTTGTTGCACGAGGGAGTGAGTCGTGATGAAATAGATAGATAAGAAAATTACGTAAAGAGACTCGCACAAGTGGTCTCTCTCGTGGCCTCATTACAGCAATGACCGCCACAGGCCTATAGTATACAGTAGGTTAAAGAACAACTTTTGGCCCCTCGAGAATCCATTCTCATTCAATGACGCCAAATGTTGTCTAGAGTTGGTATTAATGCTTCCACGGAAGTCGATAACTCGTTTTCGAACGGAAGCTTATTTCTTTAGGGCGCTTTGTCCATCATAACCTTCTTGTGTTTAAAGTGCAGTTTCGTGTTAAATTAACATCATATTGGTATCAAGACAAACTTCATCTCTCATTAGAACCACTACATTCGAATAAGTCAGTGTGAAATAACTAAATCTGATTTTTATTTGTTTCAGAGTAAAACTATGGCGGCGCAAGTGACAAGAGCGCCACCTCGTGATAAAACTGAACAATACGTATCTGGGGAGAACGGAGCAGCGAGTATATTCCAATCCCATTGGTTAATATTGTTTACATTAGCTCTTCTCGGTCTATGACAGGAAGAAGGACATCAACACTGAAATAAATACACAGGAAGTCATCTGATAGGGAGCATACATTATGAACCATGAAAGTAATCATGTGACCAGCATTAGTTATCATTCATGGGTGTAAGATGGTGGGACTTCAAGACAATCATTTTGCAAACAAATGACTTCCACATGCAAAGTTGAAACATAAATTCGTTTTCATTTCTCAAATTATTGATATTCATTTAAAATGAAAAACCCGGACTGGCGACCTTGATGGGCAGTCATACAACAAAGTCGTTTCCTCACCGCTCAGATGACGTAATTATTTCTAGTTCCTGTTTGGGGCACCGAGTGTCTTGTCGATGGCATTAGTAGTTTTAAAAGGAAATCTAAGATTGCCTAATACGTATTCGCACTCTTGTAGATCATCTTGTTTTGATGAATTCATGTGATAATTAGTGCTAGGAGTTATATGTTGGATATTTATTATATCCCCGATGTTACTAACGTTTTGACATTAATAGAACTCTTCTCTTTGTTTTCAAATACATAGTCGTCTCCCGAACTACATCCTGGGTATTACTTTTGCTCCGACGATTTGTAGCTCGCCCTCTGATTGCACGTATTGTATGTTGTTGTATAAGACAGTGGTCAGATTCGAACAAGATGGACGTTAACCAAATGCGCGTCCGAGTTGCAGTTTGTCCATTGCATGGATATGGTGCTTTTGTCACATGTAGAGATGTGGAGAGTGTCTCCTATTTGGCCTTGTTGGATGCACAAAGGTCGTTTGGACCTGTTGGATATTTCCATTTTTCAAAACGAGTTGATAAACTGAGTGTTATGTTCGGACGAGGTGAAAATTGTTCCGTGCTGTGCAGTTTTCACATGGGGCCTATTTCACCAGTTCGGACCCTGTGGATACTCTCCTTATGTTTCGTGACGTGAACCATATTGTGTAAAATTAGATAGGATCCCTTGGTTGTTCTGGAGACATCGTGATTAAAATACACATTGTCGATAGACGTCACTGATTTCTGCCTTTTACATGTTGCCCATTGGGCATTGGTGGGCGTAGTGCGAACATGTGGGCGTGGCAGATATGGTGATAGCAAGAAAGAAGCCATGACAGATACAATAAGTATGCAATGGGCTTACATGTTTTAGTGAAAGTGTTAAGTAGTATGAGGCCAGAGTGTGGTAGTAATATTCGTTTAAAAAGATGAATGGATGATTTGTGTTAGGTCGGATGAGAGGTGTGTATGTACGTGATTGCAGAGCATTATAATGCTGTTATTGATAATATATATTTGTTATCCGAGACTTTTGTTATGTACATATTTTTGTAAATATATAATTTATGTACAATAAATTTATGTGTCCAATCATACTTGTTTTTTCTACATATATCAGTAACGACATGACGAAGTTCTCTTCGTGTTCAAAATAACTTGTACAAACACGTCCGAACTTCAGGTATATAGTAGTACACGGTCACAGTAAAAACAATACCGAACCGCAAGGTCACAGTAAAAACAATACCGACCTACAAGGTCACAGTGAAAACAATACCGAACCGCAAGGTCACAGTAAAAACAATACCGAACTACAAGGTCACAGTGAAAACAATACCGAACCGCAAGGTCACAGTGAAAACAATACTGAACCGCAAGGTCACAGTGAAAACAATACCGAACCGCATGGTCACAGTAAAAACAATACCGAACTACAAGGCCACAGTGAAAACAATACCGAACCACAAGGCCACAGTGAAAACAATACCGAACCACAAGGCCACAGTGAAAACAATACCGAACCACAAGGCCACAGTGAAAACAATACCGAACCGCAAGGTCACAGTAAAAACAATACCGAACTACAAGGTCACAGTGAAAACAATACCGAACCACAAGGCCACAGTGAAAACAATACCGAACCACAAGGCCACAGTGAAAACAATACCGAACCACAAGGCCACGGTGAAAACAATACCGAACCACAAGGCCACAGTGAAAACAATACCGAACCGCAAGGTCACAGTGAAAACAATACTGAATCGCAAGGTCACAGTGAAAACAATACCGAACCGCATGGTCACAGTGAAAACAATACCGAACCACAAGGCCACAGTGAAAACAATACCGAACCACAAGGCCACGGTGAAAACAATACCGAACCACAAGGCCACAGTGAAAACAATACCGAACCACAAGGCCACAGTGAAAACAATACCGAACCACAAGGCCATGGTGAAAACAATACCGAACCACAAGGCCACAGTGAAAACAATACCGAACCACAAGGTCACAGTAATGTACCACAAACTACAAGGTCACAGTATCAGATCAGGAAACACAAGGTCACAGTATCAGATCAGGAAACACAAAGTCACAGTATCAGATCAGGACACAAAAGGTCACAGTATCACATTAGGAAATAAAAGTCACAGTATCAGATCAGGAAACACAAGGTCACAGTATCAGATCAGGAAGCACAAGGTCACAGTATCAGATCAGGAAACAAAAGGTCACAGTATCACAACAGGAAACAAAAGGTCACAGTATCAGATCAGGGCACAAAAGGTCACAGTATCACATTAGGAAATAAAAAGTCACAGTATCACATCAGAAAACAAAAGAACACAGTGACAGATCTGGAAACGGAAGGTCACAGTACCAGACCACGAACCACAAGGTCACAGTATCAAACATCAAAAAAAAGGTCACAGTAACAGGAAATAAAAAGTCCCACAAGGAACACAGTGACAGATCTGGAAACAAAAGGTCACAGTACCAGACCACGAACCACAAGGTCACAGTATCAAACATCAAAAAAAAGGTCACAGTAACAGACTAAAACCCACAAGGTCACAGTAACAGATCACAAACCACAAGGTCACAGTAACAGACCACGAACCACAAGGACAAAGTAATAGACCACGAACTACAAGGTCACAGTAACATATCATGGCAAACAAGGTCATAGTAACAAATCACAAACCACAAGGTCACAGTAGCAGACCACGAACCACAAGGTCACAGTAACATATCATGGCAAACAAGGTCATAGTAACAGATCACAGACCACAAGGTCACAGTAGCAGACCACGAATCACAAGGTCACGGTAACAAAACACGAACCACAAGGTCAAAGTAACAGACCACGAACCACAAGGTCACAGTATCAGATCAAGAAACAAAAGGTCACAGTATCAGATCTGGAAACAAAAGGTCACAGTAACAGACCACGAACCACAATGTCACAGTAACAGACCACAAACCACAAGGTCACAGTAACAGACCACGAACCACAAGGACAAAGTAATAGACCACGAACCACAAGGTCTAGGTAACAGATCATGGCAAACAAGGTCATAGTAACAGATCACAAACCACAAGGTCACAGTAGCAGACCACGAACCACAAGGTCACAGTAACAAACCACGAACCACAAGGTCAAAGTAACAGACCACGAACCACAAGGTCACAGTATCAGACCACGAACCACAAGGCCACAGTAACAGACCACGAACCACAAGGCCACAGTAACAGACCACGAACCACAAGGTCACAGTAAATGCATGTGGAATATATGAAATACTTTACTCACCAATTGTGATAACATTGTAGTAATAATTCTAGTATCTTTTCTAGTCTGTAATGAGACGGCAGTGTACTAATCAATAAGATGTATATCTGACATCATTCATATTAACTTCTTGTACGTATGGAAATTGATTTCTGACGTCACATTATTAAGCAAGGAATGCATTATATATTATACATGTATAGGTTCCCTAAGCTGTACCACAGACTTAATTCTAGGTAAGGTGGTTGTTTATGATAAAATGTCACATACAGGACTCCGTACGTGTATAGAACAATAAGTATGACTTGATGCAAATGACAACTATTGTCACTTTCTGACAATAATAATAATTATATATGAATAGACACAACACTAGTATTCATTATCTGTTACACAGGATATCATATATATGATAATAAAAATTAATACATGGCGTCATCCCTAACATTAAATAACAACTGAATTATATGATAAATTAATAGTTTTCTGAAGTTGCTCGTCACGTCATTGAGATATTATTGTAAGTCTACCCAACCAATGAACTACTTTTTTCAAACTACGTATTATTATCTTTAGCGGGTTGTAATATCCATGTCGCACGTCATTATCACCTATTTCTGACATGAAAGTTTTGTCCTGGTTATAAAACAAGAATGTATTAGGCGTTCTCTGTTGATGGGTTAATAGCAGGACAGAGCTATAACATCATGCTCTCAAATTCCTGAGAAACACACACCTGCCCCAGTTTGGGATCGAACCACACACCTGCGATCTTCAGCTGATATGGCGGTTTCTTTGCACGCTGTGTGTAGGAACACAACCGATATGAATGTGGTAACAAAAAGGAGATATTGCTATGGAAAAGAAAAAGAAGAAATATTTGTACTGAAAAGGCTAACTACCTACGTATGTGGTCCCAGAGCGGACCTGTCTTGCTATCGTAGTAATATTATTATCCCCAGCGGACGTAGATATCAGTTTATTGTTAAGCATTGTCTCTCATGGGCTACGCAGTGTCTTATCTAAATGGAATCACCAACGTTTGGAAATTATTTTGCAGTAAAGATAAATGGTCTTGAAAATTAACCATCGATTTTTTTTCCAACAAACATATACGTTTTGAATATATCTAAAACGTTAGTTTTTGAGACTTTTATGAGCTCAAAATGCCTCTAGTCATGTTAAAAATCTAAAAGAATTTTACGTACACACTTCATTGATCCGCCATTGGACTGTTCATACTGCACTTCTCTCCAAACATCATTATTATAACATCCCTTTGCTATCTCTACCGACTAGAAAACTGTTAACTGCATAACGCAACCAAATATTGTTTATTTTAAAGGGGTTGTTCATCTATAGAAGTATTTTAGTGTGTGAAGTTTTGAAAACATTTTGTCAGTGAGTGACATTATCTCAGCTTTTATCACTGGGGATCCGATACCATTGTATTAGAAGATTAGGTTTGTTGTAATTTTTCATGACTGTTTAAGAGAACCCTAAGATAACGGTCATTGTTTTGATATATTTAAAACTCTGTCGTATCGTCCGTACTCAGACCATCTGTTGATGGCAATATGATTTCACGCATGCGCAAAGGCGCTTCTATGTTTGGGCGCCATTTTTCGAGAATGAGGGTAAGGGTTTGTGATAGTCTTAGTTTGGGAATTGTTTCGGTTGATGTGCGATTTCATAATTTAGCGTGATTGATGACGGAGATTTCGATGTTTATATTTTATTAACGTGCCTGAGTACAACAGAATGTGATGAGTTGGGGCATTAGAAACATCCTGCACTATACGTCACACTATGGGTGCATATGTACCTTATAGAGTGACGTCATCACAGCGGTAGAGAGACAGTTTGCCTTCCTAGTCGTGGCTACAGACCGTCGTACCACGGGAGGGGAGCTCGTAACTTCTCAAATCTTAAAATGGATGATACAGTTTTAACGAGCGTTTTAATATTTCAAATTTTCCTCTACGAGTGCGCTGATAGATAAAATACGGAATTTAGTAGCAAAACGACTGGTCAACCCCATGTGCCGCATAGCAAGATCGGTGTAATAAACTTCCGGAGAATGTAATAACTTCGCTGATTTGAAACCTCAATCTGGTTTATTCAGTAGTAAATACTCTGTCAGTTCAACTGCATATCAAAATTCGCCTTTAATGTTAACACCCGGATGGCAACGAGGCAATGGAGGTCCTTCAATATCGCTCTGTAATATAAGATGATTGAAGAATATATATTTTAAAAAAATATAGCATTTCAATATGGAATATGATTTCGATAAACCGCCATGAAGAATACTCGTTAACGAAGAAGGACACACTGTTTATTATAAAAGTAATGATCGAATCTGAAGGAAATCACAGTCGGGAGGGGACTTTCAACATATTCACCGTACCCCTTGTTATCTCTTTGGATTATTTGTGTAATATTGTACAGGAGGTCTCAAGACAGAAATTTTACACACGTTGACATTTGTACCTGTTAAACACGTGTCACGTTTATATCTGTACCTTTACAGTGTTAAACACGTATCACGATGACATTTGTACCTTTGCAATGTTAAACAGGTATCACGTTGATGTCTGTACCTTTACAATGTTAAACACGTATCACGTTGATGTCTGTACCTTTACAATGTTAAACACGTATCACGTTGATGTCTGTACCTTTACAATGTTAAACACGTATCACGTTGATGTCTGTACCTTTACAATGTTAAACACGTATCACGTTGATGTCTGTACCTTTACAATGTTAAACACGTATCACGTTGATGTCTGTACCT